GCGACCCAGCTCTTTCGAGGAGGATTTGTGGGGACCGTGCTAGAGAGAGGAGAGGCAGCCTCGTCAGCCACTGTGTCGTGATGAAAGGTGGAACATGCAGATGGCCTGGGCATGGCGGTCCAGGTAGGGCAAAGGAGCTTGCCCAGGTGCTGAAACATGAAATATATTGACACACAGTATGTGTTCAACAACAGTTGAATGAAGAGGTGATTTGCAGTTTCTGGAAACTGAAAGCCATGCAGGATTTGTACTTGATATGGCAGAAATAGGGGTTCTGGCTGACCTCAGCATCACCCATCCACGCCCCAGGCTTGTCTGGGAAGGGGTCTGAACTGACTCGAGGAAGTGGAGAAGAGATGCTGCTGGGGTGGGACCAGTCCCAACGGACAATTCGTGAGGTGAGGGGCAGCCTGGTGGTTGGCCCAGCTTGGTCAGCAGGATGAGTTGTCATTCAGAGGCTCCAGACACCAACTCCAGAAGAGGGGTGCAGGGAAGAGATACGGCCACACCCCTTATTCTACCTGAAATGTCAGCCCTGAATTATGTCTCTCTTTGCAAGGGGAGCCCCTGATGTCCATCCCTGTTTCTCCACCATCCCCCTTCAAAGTCAGACTGAGGTGCAAGATGGAGTCATGGGGTCACAGAATACAGAAGGCATGTGGCCCTGGGAGATGATTCACCCCCTCTGAGAGTAGAGGAGGAGACTGAGGCCCAAGGGGATCAGGGGCTGCCCAGGGCCTCACATACAGAACAGGGAAGAACATGACCCCACATCTCCAGATGTTGAAGCCTCAAGTTCTTGCCAGGCCACAGACCCCCTTTGGAGCAAACTCAAATATGGGGGTGAATTTGGGGCTGAGGTGGGTCCCTATATGTCTAGGCCGCAAGCACCAACACAAACTCTATGGGACTGGGATTTTTAGGGGTCAGCGGGCAGCCTGAGCAGAGGAGAAAGAGGTGGTCGGCAGGAGTGACTGTAGAGGCCGAAAGGTGCCAAGTCATCAGCACCATCTGAGCAGAGAGTGGAACTCAGTCTTGAGTTCCAATCCCTTCTCAGTCCCTGTAGTCGCGTGCACATAGCAGTCACCTCGAGTCACCTGTGTCTGTTAGTTGGGAATAATACTGGGGATGGCTGGGGGAGCTCAGTGAGGGGTTTATTTAGTTGGTCTTCACCTGGTCCTAGAAAAGGTTGTCAGCAGTGTCGGTAAGACTGTGTGCGTGCGTGGATACTAGCAGTACCCGTGCAGCAGGAGCGAATGGGATACAGAGCTGGTCTAATTGCGCCTGTGGGCTCCTGGCCACCTGTGAGAACCACGGGAACAGAAGACTAGACC